GAAAAAGCCCAGCAGGAACTCATTAGCATAATAGGCCACACCCAACAGCAGGAACTCATTAGCCTATTGGGCAACACCCCTGACAGCACAGCTCATTAGCACATTAGGCCGCACCCCCATGTTACCAGAAGTGTGGTTATCCAGCCACACCCACCTTTTGCTTGTTATTCTGTTTACCTTGTTTGTTGTCAAAACCCAGGGCCTTTTTTTGTAGCAGGAACTCCTTTGCATGTTAGGCCACACGCCCCTAATGTAGCCAATCCTAATGAGTTTCTGCTGTTGGGTGTGGCTTGTTATACTAATGAGGTTCCTGCTGGGTGTGGCCAACTTGGGAGCCAGCCGGAACTCCGTTCCTGTGCGTTCCTGCCCAAAAATAGCCCTGGGTACATTACAACCATAGTTGGAGAGTCCTAGCTTCTGCCATAAGTGGCTTTGGGCCTGTAACTCTCTGTCTAACCTACCTCATGGGGTGGCTGTGAGGATATAACAGGAGGGCTGTATATGCCACCATACGCTCCTTGAAAAAAGGAACGATCTAAAATTAAATTGGAATATAATTATGAGAACTGAAGTTGTGCTACCGTAGAAAATTGGTCACTGATTCCAGTTCAATTCTCAGAGGGGGTATGACAAACCAAACAGCATTGTGTCTCAGGTGAAGTTCTGTAAAAATCTGTATTATTTTTCCTTGTGTGTTCTGATTTGTTTGGCCAAGCACACCAGCAGCCTGATCAACAATGGACACGGGGGACACAGGAAGCCGCCTTATTCTGGTTCGGAGTCTTGTTCTATTAAGGTCAGTATTGTCATCTTTGATTGGCAGCAGCGCTCTGTGGTCTCAGACAGAGGTTTTTCACATCACCTGCTACTTGATTGAACCCGAGGCCTCCATGTAAAGCAGATAAGAACATAAGAGATGCCAATGTTGGATCAGGCCAAAGGCCCATCCCGTCCAACACTCTGTGTCACACAGTGGCCAGAAATACCAGGTGCCATCAGGAGGTCCACCAGTGGGGCCAGGACATTAGAAGCCCTCCCACTGTTGACCCCCCCCCAAGCACCAAGAAGACAGAGCATCACTTGCCCCAGAGCCCCTATCTATACCTTGTGGCTAATAGCCGCTGATGGACCTCTGCTCCATATGCTTATCTAATTCCCTTTTGAAGCCGTCCATGCTTGTAGCCGCCACCACCTCCTGTGGCAATGAATTCCATGTGTTAATCACAGATGCTGAACCATGGCTCCTTCCCAGTGTTGTGTGGCACTGTTGATATATTTTTTTTTACTTTCTGTTCTTATTTTTTGTGCTTCCTGTTCGATTACGCAGACCTTAAGGGTAACTGGTGAGAGCAAAAGAGGGGGGAAATGTATAAAACTGCTTAGCGAATATTTCACAATAACTCTTTATTATTATTTTTATTAAAACTGATGTTTCTGCATCAGGAAATTCTCATTCACGACTGAAAACCGTTACGTGACACAGATACATTTTGGCATACTTAGAACATAGATGCTCTCTGGAAACAAGTAAAATTACATGAATTGGAGTAATTGGTTGCAAGGCTAGGACTGCAACACCAGTCTGGGGACAGCCAAGGCTCAAAACAGGTTTCCTCCCCTCATATTCAAACCCTGGTCCTCAACTTGATCAAAACCTCCCATCAGCTCTTAAAAAAAATACCGTGAGGGTATTTTCTGTTGCCCAGTAATACTTGCCTACTGCATATTCCTCAGGCCACTGTTGAGTTGCAACCCAGAGTAAATTCCTGTATTCGTTGCTGGGATTTAGCACCAACAAAACCCCAAGTTTTATTCAAAATCCCTTCTATAGTGTCTACATGCTCTGGTATCCTGTGCATATTTGCATCATTATGTGTTGTTGCCATGGTAACTCCCCTCCCCATCATCATGATTTTGGCAAGGGTGGTAAATAACTATTTGGTTAGCCTTCCCGTGAGTGAAATGTCTTGAATAGGAGTATATGGCGGCAGCCTCTGGAAAAGGGCTTTGCAATAGCAACCCCACTCCAGTGGTGTTATAGGACTCTGTCTTCAGGGGTTCTACAGATCTGCTTTATTTTGAGTCAGGAATAAATTTTCTTTTGTTTCCGCTGCTGCTGCTTCAGCAGGGGGCTTGTATTATTATCTTGAGCAATCTGAATCTCTGCTCATCCAGTTCTTTTCCATGACGTTGTTGCCCCTTTGCTGAATCAGCAGGGACTAGATTAAGGCTGGCAGCATACCAAGTCACTGCTTGGATCGGGGAGGTGTAGGTTTATGTCCTTGTGTATTAAATTGACAGTGCTAGAATGTATTCTCAGGATCTCTTAATGGCTTTTCTATTCTGTCTTTGGGGATCCTGAATATGCAGTCTTGATTAGAAAGGTAAAGGTTCCCTTGCTCGAAAGCCAGTCGAATCCGACTCTAGGGTTGTGGTGTTCATCTCCGTTTCAAAGCCGAAGAGCCAGCGCTGTCCGAAGACGTTTCCGTGGTCATGTGGCCGGCATGACTAAACACCAAGGTGCACGGAACGCTGTTACCTTCCCACCGAAGTGGTACCTATTTGTCTACTTGCAATTTCTTGCTTTCGAACTGCTAGGTTGGCAGGAGCTGGAACTAGAGACGGGAGCTCACTCCGTCATGCGGCACACTCGGGTCTCGAACTGCCGAACTACCGACCTTCCACAGCCTGCAGGTTCAGCGTCTTAGCCACTTGAGCCACCGCAGCTCCTTGCTTACTAAGTCACAAATGTTTCTGTGAGAATTGTGGTGAGCACCTGGCTGGCCCACCAGGAACTGTCCATTAGTGGAACACAGTCTACCTTTGACCTCTGCAGTAAGCAAGGAGTGCTAAGGGTTTCCCCAGGAGAAACAGTTTTCAGACAGGCAGGCTTTGGAGCTGAGCTCAGCAGAAACTTAAAAGAAGATAGTTGACTGATCACCAGGTCACTACCATGAAGACATGAAAACTCTTGCAGTCCAATGCCTTGGACTCCGCTCACTGTGAGGAACAATCGGCTGGGAGCGGGAGGAATGCCACAGCAAATGTCACTGGAAATCAGAGGTCATTTCGGGGGGGAACGCGGGGAAACACAGTTCCCCCGGGTGAGGTACGGGGGCGGGGCACATGATGAAGCCCCGCCCCCTGCTTCCGGCCGCCATGCTTCTGGCCCTCATTCAGCCAGGAGGAGGCAGGAGAAGAGGGAGGGTAAGTTGCTTCCTCCCTGCCTCTCCCCACCCATGCCTGCCTGGGGCCAGGGAGGGCCTTCGCGGGGCTTCCTTGCACTCCTGCCGGCCTCATGGGGCTCGGCAGTGGAGTTGCAAGGCCGGCGGCGGCGGCCGGGACCATTGGGGGCGGGGGGTATGGCCTTATGACACACTTCCGGTGATGTCAGGGGGTGTGGCCTTATGACACACTTCCGGTGATGTCAGGGGGGGTGGCATATGCTAATAAGTTATGCTAATGAGCCCCCCTAGCTCTTTTTCTACAAAATGACCCCTGCTGGAAATCATAATAGTTGGACCAGTTGCCAGCAGCTTGAAGTATAGACTATATCGCTGCACTATTTACAATATTAATATACCGTTGCTCAAAATAGCCAGGGCGTTGCAGGTTGTCTGACCTGCTACTCGCTGCGGGGGAAAGGGTTCGATGCATCCTATACACAGAAACTGTTAAAACTGCTATTCTACAAATTATGTGGAATGATTTTCTACTTCACAGCTGGTATAGGGTTGGGGCTTGATCTTTCCCTGTATTACATACACATATTATATTTACGAAGTTAAAAACTGGCCATCAGGCTCCTTAAGCTTGTGAGCCAACGCCCTGGTGTGTCTATGTGTTTCCTTGTAAAATAAGTCTTTCCTGTTCTCTGGATAAGCTTATATTTAGATATAATCCTTGTCCTAACTAAACATGCTTGCTGAGTGATCCGTGCAACAGTGAAGGAGTCACCAGCCGGTACATTCAGCGTACAATAGCTACTGTAAAAAAAAAAAAAACGTACAGAAATTTTCACCTATCAAGACTGTGAATGCTTTTATGTCCTTTTCCCTCTACAGTTTTCATTGGATGGAAGAGGGGGAAAAAAACCCCTAAAAAAAAAAGTGCTTTGAAAAGGAAGGTGTGGCCAGAGATGATGGAGCTACATGACAGCACACTGGGTGACCCCACAGCAATCTTTAATAATAGCTATTCCTGTTTTCGTAAAGGTGGGTTTGTTTGGAGGAAGGGGAGGTGGAGGAGGTTCTGCCTTCTTCTCTGTTGGAGTACCTGCAGCAATCAGAATGAAGTGCCGTTAGTGTCAGGGATGGAGTTGACACGGCCCATCTTCAAAAGCTGCTATTCCATTGTACTGCTTAAGTGATACTGCTCATTTAACCTATAGGATTCGAGTCGAGCCACATTAAGAGTCCACATAAACAAGACTAAACAGTCACCTTAAAATAACTTTCTACTTGCTGTAACATATGGGGGGGGGGGGGAAATCACAACCGCTAAAGTAACCTCCGAACCCACTCTAAACAAAGTCTCCCCCATTTTTCTCCCACTGATGCACTTACTATCTCATCTAAGGATGAAAGTTCTCACATTTGAGGAAAAGGGACATTCCAGTTTGGTGTAGTGGTTAAGTGTGCAGACTCTAATCTGGGAGAACCGGGTTTGATTCCCCACTCCTCTACTTGCACCTGCTGATGTGACCTTGGGTCAGTCGCAAGCTCTGGCACAGCTGTCTTTGCAAAAGAGCAGTTTATGTCAGAGTTCTCTCAGCCCCACCCACCTCACAGGGTGTCTGTTGTGGGAAGGGGGAGGGAAGGGAGTTTGTAAGCCGCTCTGAGACTCCAAGTGAAGGGCGGGGTATAAATCCAATCCTTCTTCTTCTTCCACTAAACAGTGTTCCAGTGTATCAGTTTTACCAGTAGCACACAAGCATAGCCCCTTGGAGTGTAGGGCACGTTCTTATGACCATTCATTACTTGAGAAGGTACAGAATTCAACCTAGCAAGCATAAAAGCTCTCACCTATTGGAGCACGGTCAACTGCTTCATGTACAGCAAGAGACTTATGGGGTAGGACAATCCCAAGTAAGTTGGGAGAGCAGACTTGTGCTGTTCCATTGTACTTGCATTGTTCTCAGCCCAAGCCACCCGAGCTGCAGCTTGGGGGTGGGATTACCCAGTAGAAAGGGTTCTACGGTATGGAGCTGCGTGGCTTGCTCCAGCCACCAGTGATGGGCTGTCCGCAGACCCATGCCACTGCTCAGCAGCTCTAAGCAAGTGTCTATGCACTGTCAGCATATTTGAAGCTCAGCTTGCTCTCAGCTGCCGATGGTGCAGAAGGATGTGACCTCCCAGTCCCACGCTTCCACTAGCCTAGTCAAAACAGTCCCTGCACTACCAGCATCACTGGAGCTCAGCCTGTTCCCTGGTTGTGTTGGCACAAGACAAGGCAACAGCCAGACTTTGCTCTGGGTGACCAGATACCTTGATCTGGCCCTGATGCATAGTGTGGTAGCCATTTTTTCTTCCTCCCTGCTTCTGCAATGTGAATGTGTAGTTTGAGTCAAAGGTCTTGGGCAGAACGTCATATGGTAGACGTTGCCTAATGAGTTCCTGCTGGGCGTGGCCAACTCGGGAGCCAGCCGGAACTCCGTTCCTGTGCGTTTCTGCCCAAGAATAGCCCTGACTGTCAGGATATTTGAAGCTCAGCTTGCTCTCAGCTGCTGATGGTGCAGAAGGAAGTGACCTCCCAGTCCTCCGCTTCCAGTAGCCTGGTCAAAATAGTCCCTGCACTACCAGCATCCCTGGAGCTCAGCTTGTTCCCTGGTTGTGTTGGCACAAGACAAGGCAACAGCCAGACTTTGCTCTGGGTGACCAGATACCTTGATCTGGCCCTGATGCATAGTGTGGTAGCCATTTTTTCTTCCTCCCTGCTTCTGCAATGTGAATGTGTAGTTTGAGTCAAAGGTCCTGGGCAGAACGTCATATGGTAGACGTTGCTCATGACATGCACTGGGACAAATCAGTCACCTTTAACTAAGGTGGGAGAGAGGAGTGGCAAGCCTGAGAGAGCAAAGTAGTAACGTGCAGTGTTCCCTCTAAGCTGCGTTAGTGTGAGCTAGCTCACAGTTTTGTAGCCTCCAGCTCACATTTTTGTCTTAGGAAGGATGGCTGCAGAGCAAGCTGATTTATGCAGTAGCAGAGGTCATTTCGGGGGGGATCGCAGTTCCCCCGGGTGAGGTACGGAGGGTGGGGCACATGACGAAGCCCCGCCCCCTGCTTCCAGCCGCCCCGTTTCCAGCCCTCATTCAGCCAGGAGGAGGCAGGAGAAGAGGGAGGGTAAGTTGCTTCCTCCCTGCCTCTCCCCACCCCTGCCTGCCTGGGGCCAGGGAGATCCTTGGCGGGGCTTCCTCGCACTTCCGTCGGCCTTGCAGGTCCACCGCCAGGCCCCTGATGTCAGGGGGTGTGGCATATGCTAATGAGTTATGCTAATGAGTTCCCCTAGCTCTTTTTCTACGAAACTACCCCTGTGCAGTAGCCAAATAGCTCGCTCAGAACTTTAATGCCAGGAGCTCACAAAGTAGAATTTTTGCTCGCAAGACTCCACCGCTCGGAGGGAGCATTGGTCATGTGCCATGTCACTCCGGACACCAGCTTTGCTACATCCCTTTGAAAGTTTAAAAAACTCACCAGTTGGAGATTCTGTTACTTTTTCTAAGGGTTTCAACTTTATCCGGAGAAACTCAGCCATTTCTTTGTCTTCTTCTTTTTCTCTATTAAAGTAAAATAACAGTAGTGCACAAAAGAAAACAAAACTATGAAACCTCAAACTTCCTTCATGGCTCTGGACAAAAATACACTTTTGGGCTTTCTTGGCATCCTTCCGTGTAGCCCCCTGCATCCCTGAAAAGTAATTCCTGAAAGTCGGGGGCCCTTAGGTAGGGAGTGTGATATGGCACAGAGGGCAGTGGTCAGTGATGCTTCTGTCTACACACTATACCGGACTTAGAAGTGTTAGAACATTAGGGCTGCCAAATCCCCCCGGGGGCCCGCCCCCAGTGTGCCCGGTGTCATCACGTCACATCCGGCTGACGTGCATGCGGCGCGCGCTCCGGACGCCGATAGTGAGCCCCCCGCCGCTAGGTAAAAACGATTTGGCAACCCTATAGAACATCAAGAACCAACACTCCATTTGCACAAAGGATACCTTGTACCCAAACAATTGCTGTTCAGCTCATCAGTGCTTACCTTAATCTCTCCACTTCTGCATCATCGACCAGGAAATCTCTTTTTTGTACCAATATATGGATCTTCTTAATCAGTTCATCTTCTCTTTGCTTTTGCTGCTTAGTCTTGTCTTTTTCTGTCCAGAAGAAGAGGAGATTGGTTCAGTAGAGAAATGGAGTTGGGTCCAATCCAACTTTTCCACTACTGCAAAAAAAGGAGGACGGGGACCAAATCTGACCACAGAAAGGTTAGGCTGGGGATCATGGGACCCGCAGGGCAAAAGCGGTGGGGCATGGGACCCGTAGTAAGGAGGGGGAAGGGGGCAAGAACAAGTGGAACAGCTTGCTGGAGTCAACCCATAATTATATTTTTCCAGTTCTAATTTTGCTGAAAATCTGTTTCCACTGTACTTTTTGGGGAGAACTTTGGCAGTCACAAATGTTTCCACAATCTGTTTGCTTCTGGCTAACGTTCTATGTTGCTTTTGTGAGTAGACAACTTGGGTGAGTTATGAAGGGTAATGCATTCCAGCTTCAACTCCACAGATGGTAGAGTACAAATAATGGATCTCCTGTGAGTTGAACATAAGAACATAAGAACATAAGAGATGCCAATGTTGGATCAGGCTAAAGGCCCATCCAGTCCAACACTCTGTGTCACACAGTGGCCAGAAATACCAGGTGCCATCAGGAGGTCCACCAGTGGGGCCAGGACATTAGAAGCCCTCCCACTGTTGGCCCCCCCCCAAGCACCAAGAAGACAGAGCATCACTTGCCCCAGAGTCCCTATCTATACCTTGTGGCTAAGAGCCACTGATGGACCTCTGCTCCATATGCTTATCTAATTCCCTTTTGAAGCCGTCCATGCTTGTAGCCGCCACCACTTCCTGTGGCAGTGAATTCCAAGTGTTAATCACTCACTCCACATGCTTGGAGGAATTTTCTCTTATTCCAACCTGAGGTTGTAGATTGGATCTATATAGAAGGACCCTATGTGTCCCCTTGGCCTTCATTCTCTTTACTTGGTTACCCAGATCTAAACGGGAGTAACTGGTTGGGTCTGGGAGAGTATTAATGCCTCTTCGACAGAGGGAGCATTCCTAATTGCTTTAGGAGAGAAGCGGCTCAGGACAGTCCTAAAGATATACCCTGAACAGTGTTCCCTCTAAGCTGAGTTAGTGTGAGCTAGCTCACAGTTTTTTAGCCTCCGGCTCATGAATTTTTGTCTTAGCTCAGGAAGGATGGCTCCAGAGTAAACTTAATTTATGCACTAGCCAAATCGCTTGCTGACAATGTAGAATTTTTGCTCACAAGACTCCACAGTTTAGAGGGAGCATTGACCCTGAACAGTTTCTTTAATCAAGCTGGTGCCATTGGGGAAAGTTACAGAAAACTTTGATCTTTCATATCACATCTGGGTTTTGGCCCTTTGCGTCTACATCCTGTTTTGATCCACCCCCTTCCTGTTATATGTGGAAGTTTTTGATCTTTGTTGTCCCTGTGCAGCCCCACACTTGGGTTTTGGGCCTGACCACAAACCTGACCTCAGAGATCTAAAAGAGCTAGCCTCAGAATTTTTGGTGGGCTTTTTTTCCTCTGCTCTGGGGAGCAGGCTGCTACTGAGCATGCCTGGAGCTGAAGAGAAAGCCCCGTTGCCTCATCCAGACCTTGTTGCGTGCGCTCCTCTCTTTGTTACCTCAGACCAACTTCTACTTTCAGAATTCCTTCTACTCTTCTTCTAAGGTTGTGAGGCAAAATTGCCTTCCACAGATGGCTATTTGCTTTGTCTTTTTTGCCTGAGGGAAGGCCACCAGGTCAACTTCTGCACTTATTGCAGCAACTTCAGTAAACAAGCCAGAAAAAAAATGTGTGGCTTGTTTGCGAAGTTACCTTGTGGAGGCTTTACTTTGCCCTCAGATGTCCCCTTCTTCGATGGCTCGAGCCTCACTGCCTCCCTCAATGGAGAGGGGAGATTCAGCTATGTTGGCAACGACTCCTAAGTCGAAACATAACTCCAACAAAAGAGGGAAATGACCCTTGGAGTCGACAGTGTCGGCCGCTCTTGTGATGGGAAAGCACAAATCCAACAAGTCAAGAAAACGTTTGTTGGAGTCGTTCTCCAAGTCGCTGAGACCAAAGACTTTGAAGAAATCTAGTCATGTCATTTCGACATCTTCGGTACCACCTTCGACTTTGATGGCAGGGCAAGCACCGGTGTCAGTTTCAACCTTGCCTGAATTTGATTTGGTCTTGGCTGCTACAGGTCCACTAAAGGGGGACTCACCTGCTAATGCCCAACTGCCACATATCGTCACCATTCCTTCTTGCTCACCCTCGACCTACAGCCATCTTCCATCTAACATTCTAGAGTCCGATTCTGCATGTCGGGATTGAGCTATATGGGACTGAAGTGACTATTCTTCTGGTATCTTGCTTCCACCGTTGCTTCACCACTCTCAAAGTCATTCTTGTTGCCCACTTGACTGGTTTCCAAGTAGATCTAGGTCTCCTTCTGTTTATCAGGGCTGAGGCCACCATTGAACTTGATGTTTTTTTAAAAAAAATTGAACTTGATGTTTGTCGGATTCGAGATCTCCTTCTCCACGGACCTATGAAAGGTGATACTATGCCAGTCGGATCTGCTCTCAATCATGTTCCAGCTTCTCCCGCTTTGAACATTACCACCAGCCTTCCTCACATATTTCTTGACACCGAGACCAAACTGTTGACTGCCACCATCCTACCGGTGCAACTCCAATTGGCCCTTCAATTTTGACTGCTTTATCTCAGCCCTCGGGAAATGTTGCTTCATCTGCCCTTGGGTGCTCCTTCAAGGTCGGATTCTGTTCCTCTCGCCCAACCATTGGAACCTCCCTTATATATGCCTGATGACCTCTCCAAGCCTTGCAGTTTCTCATCAGAGTTATTGAATCACGAATCTGAGGCTTCTGATTCGGAGCATGGGTAACTATTACACACCTCTCTGGACTCTGATGTGGGACACTCAGGCTCTCTTTCACCTTCAGAGTGCCCCAAGTCTTATCTGGAGTTTATAACCTGTATGTGTGAAGCTCTCAATATACAACTGACCAGTGAGGCTCCTAAGGTCACTGATTTGGTTCATAAGTTGGTCCAAGCGGGCCTTCCATTGAGCACCGTGTTGCCAATGCCCTCTGTTCATTTGGACATGTCAAAGGTGGTCTCTAGTTTGCCATGATTTGGGGCTTGTAGAGGGAGGGAAATTCCTGAGGTGGGGCGTGTGTGAGTGGCTGAGTGTGTGAACTGCTCTGTCATAGACTGATGTAACTCTTCCTAAGATACCTCCCTTGTACAGGGATGACCTGTACCTGCTTCGCTATCAGAGATAAAGAAACCATATAGTCACAGGTGTGGGTGTAGAGAACGTGAAAGCTAGGCGGGACGCTTGTGAAGTGTGCTTGAATGTAAGTGAGGGGGGGGCTTAATTTGAACTGTTTATATCTTTGGATTCTCCTGCCAGAACCTCAGTTCTGACACAGTACTGATCTGGCCTGGAACAACTTTATTTCTCAATAAACAAATCACTGCCAGAGAGTGTTGTTGAGAGTAACTTTGTCCAGTAGTCTGACATCTAAAAGAGGCCTGGGATAAACTGGCGTCCATTCCTCCAGCTCCTAAACGTTTTGATTCTTTATACAGGATCCAACCATGCAAGGTGAAATTCTTGTTCTCCCATCTGGCACCAAACTCCTTGATATTGCAGTCAGCACCCGAAGTGAAGCAAGTTTGTCATCCTGCCTCCCCCGCCCCCAGACCAGGAGGGGTGCAAAATTGACACTTTCAGCCAAAAATTGTACTCCCTTACCACAACACTCAGCAAGCTTCATAATTATCTGGCCTGTTTCTCTGCTTTATGCATTTCACTTGGCAAACCAATTCACCTTGCTCCTGCCGGAACTGTCTGAGCCTTCTCAAAAGGTAGCTGCTTCGGTGATTTCTGAGATGTCTCTGTTGTCTCGACATCAAATCAATTCAGTTCGCTGTCTCCTGCTCCTCTGAGGCTGTGGCAACCTCAGTTGTTCTCCGCTGTCATGCATGGCTTCGGACCACATCCCTCCAGAATGATGTCAAAGCCAAAGTGGAAGATCTTCCTTTTGACGGAGAAGGTCTGTTCCATTCTACCACTTACCAATACCTTCCCACCGTAGATGACAGTTGCAAATGGCCTAGGTGGCTTGGGGTCACTCATACTCCTTCTCAAATGTTCAAACCTCGTCAGTGGACCCCAAAATTTCAGCACTATCAGCAGTCACCCAATTCCTCTGATTCCTGGAAGCATATGTGTTCATACTCTCAGTCGACTTTCCAACCTGAGCCTAAAGTTCAGCAACCCAAAAGGCTGACCGCCCAAACCAGTCTCTTTGACTTTGCTCAGCTTCCAGAATTTTGTCTGCCTGCTGCTGTCACCCCCCCCCCCCTTCAAAACCACACTCTGTCTGTTTCTCCCTCTTTGAGAAGACATCAATACCGGCGTCTGGGGGAGGGAAATTCCTGAGGTGGGGTATGCCATAGATTCATCACCGTGGCTTCTGTGCAGGCACACATGGGACTGCGCAATCGCAGGCCAACTGTGGAAAAGATTTCAAAGCTTACTAATAGACTAGGAGCACCCCTCCTCTCTCTGGCGCTTTCCCGCCAAAAAGCTCACATGACCAGGAGGAGGGGGTGCTACTTCAACAGTTCTCTTTTTGCCGCCATGGAGAGAAGATCTCCACTGCTGTTCTGTGTTTTTTCCTCACCTCAGTTTTGAGGCTGAGGAGACTTTTTTATCTCAACAGTTTTTATTCTAGTGAACAATAAAATATATCTAAAGAAGAAATGTTTTGTGGATTTCCACTGTCATTATTACTAAAAATGGTGCTGATAAATGGCCATTCTCTGTGCCTTGGCTTCCTAGGGGTTCTCACAGCAGAGCTGCCTGCTCTTGCTGTCACAGTTTCCCCTGAAGCCACGTATGGATAGAGCTGGACTCAGAAGAGCTTTCTTCGAAGGATTCCCCCTCCCTGATGAGGTGGGGTAGAAAAAGGAGTCTGGCCTCAATGGCCCTATTCGGAGGTTCACCTGTGTGCCAGCAGCCTGGATGAAGGCATATTCCCCC